TGGGGGCATGAGCTTCAGATCTGGGTCTGCAGGAGACCCAGTCTGACCTTGGTACAGTCCCCAGGCTCTGCCCCAGGCCAGCTTCCTCTTCTGCTCAGGGGAACTAAGGGGGTTCTGGTGCGAGTTTCCTCTTCAGGAGGGTGGGGGTAGAGGATGAGATGACACTGGCTAGAGCTGGGCACAGCCCTGTAATTGTTAGTCTCCCATGAGGATCCCCACTGTTCTTGGTCCTGGCATTTAGAGGACAGGGCCCTTGTGTGAAGTGTCCTTGGGTCCCAAGGACAGCTGGGGCCTGGCACAGAGCAGATGTTCCACCTGCACCCGCACTATGCCCAGCAGTGTCTCAACCTCTCTACTATTCTATGTTCCTAATCAGAAACCAGGCAGGAAATGTTTCTGATTTGTGAACTGGGGGCCCATGAAGAGGCGGAGCTGGGTTTGTTGGCATACCTAGCAGATGGCTTTGTTAGGGGAAGGGTGTGGCTTAACCCCTAGGGGCAGTGCTGGAAGCCCCTGGGTTAGGGTGGTTGGCCCCCTCTAAGCAGGGCAGCCCCAGAAGGCGGGGGTGGTGAGGTAGTGTCCAGCTGGGCTGGGTGACACTCGTGACATGCTCAGTTAAGTGAGAAGGCAGCAGCAGAGTGTCCCTGAGGAAGGGACTGTTTGTGGCATTGGGCTTGGGCCAGACTCTGTACCCTCCTGGGAGACAAGTCTTTGGAGAAAAGGGATCCTAAGGGCTCACTGTGCTCTCTGTGGCCCTTCCGTTTTCACATTTCTTATCACTTCTCATCCTCCACACAACTTGAAGGGTGAGGTCAGGGCCTCATTCCCATTTTGCACACTGAGAAACAGGTTATTAGGAGCAGCTTGCTTAGCTGGATCAAAACAGTTCAAAATAGCAAGTCAAGGAAGAAGTGGGGTGGGTGAACAAGGGGTCTCAAATCTGCTTCTTGCTGGCTGTGGCCCCACATGGGCCTTGAGTGTGAGCAGTGACCCATGGAGTGGGGTTAAGGCTCAGTTTGGGGGTTCCATGAAGTGTCAGGGATAACTGAAAGAAACCCCACCTAATAATGGGCCTCTTAGGGGCAGCAGGACAGTGAGAGGTGTTGGCTGTGGAGAGGACTATCCTTTTGAGCCCATTGTTGGGCAGAGGGGGTATGGGGTGGGGAGCGCAGAGGAGTGGCCTCTGCAGATTGGCGAGGCTGGGCTTTAGCGCTTGGTGACTGTCCTGATGGGTTCAGGTTTCCAAGGTGCCATCCTGGGTGTCTACTCAGCCCAAGCCATGGCCCTCCCTATCTCACCTGGGGGCTTTCCTGGATTAGAGTGAGGGGACAGCTAACTTGCAGAAGACACCTTGGCTCAGAGGGGCACAGAGGTGGGGGACAGGGAAAGCCCCAGTAGAGACAACACAAGTAGGGTGGGGGTCACACTCAAGCAAGCCAGCCAGCCTCCCTGATGCTTCATGTCTCCTCTGGGCTCTGCCTCTTGGAGGCCTCCTCCCCTCCCCACTGCTCAGTACTCGCAATGATAGCTGCCCTTCCATGGGCTCAGGCCTGCCCGGCCTCCACCTGCACACGTTGCTCCCACCCCCACACTCAGGCTACAGCCTGTCCTCCCCTGCAGGCTGCTGGCTTCCTGAGTCTGTTCAGACAGACAGGGGGACCCATGACCAGGGTCCTGGGAGTGGCTTTGGAGTGAGGGAGTTGGCTCAGGGATGGGTAACTGCCAACCGGGATCCCCATGACAACAGGGTCTCCTGTGACTCATCACTATATCCCTGGGCTTGGAGCACTCAGCAGACATTTATTGAGCATCTGTTGTGGGGTTAGGGATCCCGCAGTGGACAAGATGGTCAGTGCTCTCCTCTTTCTGGCTCAGTCCACTGCAGGAAGGAGACAGTAGCTAGGGAAACGTGTTCCCTGACCCAAGAGGATGTCAGGTAGCAGAGAGTGCTGGGAAATAAAATGAAGTGGTGCAAGGAAGTGGCAAGTGTGGGGTAGAGGGGTATCGAGCCAGGGTGGTCTGGGAGGGCATCCCCCAGGAGGTACCTTCCAAGAAAGTCCCCCCAAACAGGAAGGAGCCAGACATGGGACAATCAGGGAAGAACATTCCAGGCAGAAGGAACAGAAAATGCAGAGGCCTTGAGGTGGGAGGGTAGAGTGTGTGCAGAAGCTTCGGGAGGCAAGGAATTTAGATTCTTGGCTGATACTGGGGAGGTTCTGAGCAGGGGATGATCAGATTTTTTAAAAGGTGAGTTCTCAGGAAATACTTGCTGAGTAAATGAAGGAACAAATACACTCAGGGGAGGGCCAGAGACACAGGCCAGGCATGACTATGGCCGGGTCACCTGGCTCTGTGCTCATAGGGGTGAGGGGCCCAGACCTGGCTGTGCCCACTCCTGGCCTGGTCAGGGGCAGCAGGCACTTGGTAGTGTCTTTTGAGGTTACCACACCTCCAGAAAGTCCCTTTGAGCAGGGGGCTGCCTCTGCTTTGGTTTCCTCATTAGTTTGGGACCTCTAGCTTCAGTGGGATTGGCCCTTGGGTTCCCCCCATCCCGAGGTCCTGCTGCCATTGTTTGATTTCCCAAACCACCCCCACTCCCCCCCCCACACACACACAGACTTCCCCTTCTGAATTGATAACTGACTTCCTGTCCATGAGCGCTGTGGGAGTGCAGGCACCCAAGCAAACACTGGGCAGGAGAGGTCCAGTGGGGAGAGGGAGGTGGACAGGGACAAGGCAGGCAGGTGGTCTCCCCAGCAGGAAGAGAAAATGGAGGTCAGGGTGGGGGGTAGTCACCTGTCCCATCTGGAGGGCTGAGAGGACAGGGCAAGCAGGGTTGTGGGAGAATACAGCAGCCCTGATGGTGGCAGGGGAGAGTCCAGGGTGACCCGTACACTTGGGATACAGAGGTGTGCAGGGCCACTCATGGAGCACACAGTCTGATGGGTAGGTGGGTGCTAATCAGATGGCTATGCTACAAAAGCAGGGTTGCAAGCTGAGGCTAGTGCCCTGGAGGGAGGACTCAAAACCAAGAGAACCTCCTGGACTGTAGGATCAGGAGCTTCCCTGCCTGAGCTGGAGTTAGCTAGGTCAGGGTGTGTCCACCTGCACACTGTTGGGCTTTGTTGGGGTTGGGGAGCTGTCCTATGCTCTGTGGGGTCTTGAGCAGCATCCCTGCGCTCTACCCACTCAGTAGCAGTAGCACCCACACACACACCAGTTGTGACAACCAGAAATGTCTCCAGATAGCGCCAAATGTCCCCTGGGGGACACAGTTGCCCCATAAAGAACCCTTAAACAAGGCTAAGGGGAGCAGAGTGTTTGGGCAGAGGGACTGGCCTGGGCAGCAGGGCTTGCAGATGCATCATGAAAGGTTCTGTAGGTCACTGTGAGGACTTGTGGGCTTTTCCTCTGGGTCACAAGGGCACTGGCTGCAGTGGGCCCACATGGTAGACCAGGGAGCTGGGAGCCCGTTGAGAGTGATGGCAGTGGCCTAACCCTGGAGGTGGTAAGAAGGAGGCAGACTCCAGGGATATCGCCCCCGGCTGCCCAGGATCCTTCTGCAAATGTGGGCATGGTGGCAGGTGGAACTCGGGTCTGCAGTTTTCCAGGGCCTGGTCCCCAAACAGACGCCAGAGTGTTGACCTTCAGGATAAAAATCATTTCTAATTAAGGCTGTTATTGCTCAAGGATGGCAAATTCTATCTTGTTGGGAGGGAAAACCTTCCCCTTCCAACGCTGTCTACCTGCGTTGGTGTCAGTCTTCTCAAAAAACCGAATTCAAACAAGTCACCCTTACTGACAACTTGGTGCTTTTCCACATCCTCGTAACCACACCACCTGGGTGTTAGTTACTGTTATTTGCTCTGCTTATGGTGAGACGCGAGAAAAAAAGTGCAGGGACTTGGGACCCAGGGGAGCCTGCTAGCTTCAGCACTTGAACCTTAACAGGCTGCTAGTGGCCTCACCTATAGCGAGTCTTCTGCACTTTCCGCAGCTGCGTTCTCCTTTGCCTCTCACCAGCCCCGTTAACAGGGCCTCTGTGAAATGGAGTTGTCTGAGGTTAGGAGGCCAGGAAATGGTGGTCCAGTACATGTACACCCCCTCCCATCTTCACCCAAATCAGCTGATGCTCCATCTTCAGCACCCAGCACCCTCAGCTCCTTGCACTTGTCTGCAGGCCCTTCTCTTGCCTTCAGAGCCTTAGCAGATGCTGTTCCCAACAGCTGGCTTTTCCTGCACATCTTAGCATCAGCATTGCCTCCCTAAGTATGTCCTGCCCCACCGAGTCTAGCATCGTGGGACCTGGTCCCCTATTGTGCTGGCATGGCATTCCTGCATTTGTAGTGACAGGTGGTTGGTATATTGACCTGTCTGTAGTCTGGCTCCTACACCAGAAGCTGAGGTTGAGGAGGACAGGGCCGTCTGTCTGTCTTGAGTGCCTCCATCTTCCAGGACTTTGCTGCCTGGCTTCCCTCTCAGCTGGTGTGGTGGATCAGGGCTCTTCCCAGGCGGCTGCTGTTCCAGTATGGGCAAAGGCTGTCATCTCCTGCCCCCTCTCACAGGTTTTCCTGAAGACTTAGTTGAGCTACCACCTGTGCATGAGGGACCGATGCCACTTCCCCGCTGTCAAATCACTCATCTTTGGCCATCACGACGCACTGGCTTTCGTCCCTGAATTGCTGTTAACACCCAGTGGTGCTGGGCTTCCAGAATATTCACCTTAAACAGACCCTCTTTTGAGCCTACGCTATTGTGGGGTTGCAGGTTGTAGATACCCTTCTCCCCCACATCTTAGGCTCTGGCTGGGCCAGGGTGGCTGCCTATCTGGTAGCAGAAGCTCCAAAGGTAGTGAATGGAAGTGGGCCAGGGTGAGTGAGAAGGCTGGTAACACCACAGTCAAAGAAACAACAAAAGCCAACCAGCATGTTTTCACTAGGATGAGGACAGGATGGTCAGGCTTCAGAACTGATTAAAAATAGACCCTGTGGAAGAGCCAACATGAGCTCGCCAGCTGTCCAGGTGTGTACCTTGCAGAATCCCCAGTGGAGCCTCATGACACTTTCTCTTTCAGGGCTCTCGTGTACAGCCTGAGTTCCAGCCTCACTGAGCCGGTTACCCCCAAGACCTTCCTGCAGAGGAAGCCTCCCCCAGCGCTGACCATGTCTATTATGGACCACAGCCCCACCACAGGTGTGGTCACAGTCATCGTCATCCTCATCGCCATCGCTGCCCTGGGGGCCTTGATCCTGGGCTGCTGGTGCTACCTGCGGCTGCAGCGCATCAGCCAGTCAGAGGACGAGGAGAGCATCGTGGGGGATGGCGACACCAAGGAGCCCTTCCTGCTGGTGCAGTACTCAGCCAAGGGACCATGTGTGGAGAGGAAGGCCAAGCTGACCCCCAATGGCCCAGAAGTGCACGGCTGAGCTGGGATGCGAAGGCTCCTGGGCCTGTTTGCAGCCAGCCAAGAGGCGTGGGAGGGGAAAACCACAGACGTGCTGCCGTTTGAGAGGAGGGGTTGACGCTGGCATGCCCTCGCCGGGCTTCATTATCGCATGCACTGACTCCTGGGGTCCCAGCTGTCCTAAGCCAGGACTTGGTGGCCCTGGGCATTCCCTCTGCCTCCTGGTGGAGCTGCCCATTGCAGGCAGTGGGCAGACCTGACCTTGCTTTTGTTACTTGAATGTTTAGCTGAGCCTGTTTTGATGGCGCTACTACTGTAACGCGTGAACTCACAAACCTGTGAATTGTAAATAGGACCCAGAAGCACGTGCTTAAACCTTTTTTGCTGATTTTAAAAAATACTGCATAGTGTACATGGGATTTACCGTACTAATAAGCTGAGTCGAGGCTGTGGGGGAGGGTCTTGGACATGTAAGGCCCAAGTTGCACTTGGCAGGGGACTCTAATACATGTGTGTGTTCGTAGAGGATGTGACGTGTTTTAAGTTTCAGAGCTGACCGGTTGGGGTGCTGTGGTGATTTCTGCTTGGTTAGCAATAGATGGGAGAACCACACCACTGTCTTTATGTAGGTTCGGTCGTTAAATACCAGTTGCTGTTGACATTGCAAGGAAGCTACTGCAGCTGCTTGGGAGCCAGTGAAGGACGAGTCAGGCACACGTCCTGAGGGCTGCCAGGCATCCCAGTGGCAGAGCAGTTTCTTGCCCCCCTGGTCTTGAGCATGCGAGCACTCTGTCCCCTCCCCACCCCCACCGGGCATTACTTAGCACAGGCTTAGCGAGCAGGCAGTGGCTTTTATCTGGAACCCAATTGGCCCAGGAAAGAAAATTGAGGTTTTTATTTGTTGTTGTATTTAATATTTTCTGCACTGGAGGGGAGAGGAGGGGACTGGGGTTTCTTCACTCCTTCCTTTTTCACAAATTAGTTTCCTTTCTTAAATAACCACTCACCTGCTGGATACTGGATTTTACTTTCCTCAGCAGATTACCTAGAACAGGGGTAGGGAACGTCCAGCCCACAGGCCATATAAGGCCCATGAAATCATTTGGTCTGGCCCTGCCAAGGCATTAGGTGTGAGTTAATTAAATGTTTGACCAAATGTAGCAGGCTAATTTTTAAGTTGATAATTGTGTATGGCCCGTGAATGATGATGTCAATATCCAAATGGCCCTTGGCAGAAAAAGGGTTCCCCACCTCTGACCTAGGAGAGTCCCCTGACTCCACTAAGAGAGCACCAAGTGCAGTGGAAGGACATTTCTTATGTGCATATGTACACAGGAGCCCCCAGATGTGCCCTGACTGCCTGTGCTTAGTGAGCACCTGGGGGGACCAGGGGCAGGGGAGAGTGAGTTTCAGGTTCTGCACTTAGTTTTCAAAAAGATGAGTTAGTGGCTCTTGGATCGGGCCAGTGCCTCCACAGCTTGCATCTCCAGGGTGTCCCTTGTATGAAATCACTTGGATTTTTAATTCCACCGCTGTAAACACATTAATGGTCACGATTAACTAGGACTTGTATCCGCATCCTGGGTAATAACTGGAGGCCAGCCCTGTTTTAACCTTGGTGCACCGGCCTTTAGCACTTGAGTAGCCTGCCAGTAGCATGGGCATGGAGCTCCCAGGAGGCCCTCAGCCTCGTTCGTCAGCTCCCACCACCATCAGAGCCCTGGCTTCCTGGTCGGGCTGAAGGCAGCTTACTTACGGCTTCATTCAAGTCTCCTCTAGAAAGCATGTTGAACTAATCTACTTTCTAGAACCCCAAGGAGGGAGCTTAGGGAGCATTTATTTTAGCAGCATATGTCTAAATTAGGGACCAAACATTAATAGCTTAGAGGGAGGGGTAAGGGCAGTTAGGCAATTTGAGCTAAAGGCAAGAAGAAATGTCCCTGGCCCTTAACCGAGGATGGCCAAGCATGAGAGTTAAGCTGGAGATCAGCAAAAGCCCTTTGGGCTGGGAGTGGAGACAAGTTCCAAAGGTGCCGACTTAGAAATCAGGGAGATTTGCTTTCTAATGAAGGATGCTCAAGAAAAATGGAAGGTGTAGGGGCATTTGATCCATTCCCCTCGCATTCCAGAACCTCCAAGCTTTCTACCTCTAACTTTCTGCAGCCAGCAGCTTACACCTAGGCTGTCTTTCACCCTAGTAACCCAGGAGGCACCTGGGACTTGCATTTTCAGTCTCTGAAAATGACCATCACTTGACTGTCAGACTTGCCCTGAGGTTTTTACCATGCCAGTGAAGTTTGAGTTTTGAAATGTTGAAATGTCGCTTTCTCCTTAGTTTCACGTCTGGAAGTTCTTTATTCCACTCTTTGGTTGCTAGGGATGACATCTTTGCAGCTTGAATCAGGCCCATCCCATCAGCATGGTGGGGCACTCGTGGGGGTCTCTGGGAGGAAAGTGAAAGTGCCTGTAGAACTGGTGAACAACCACACAATAGCTCTCACTGTTCTTATTTGTCAATAGCTACTTTTTTTAGTACAGAGACGAGAGCCACACACTCAACTGGCTTAGTAAGTTATGACTCTCATTAAGTTCATTCTGAATTGACCACTGTTGTGTTCAAGTTTTCTGACTAGTTAGTCAAGAAATTAACATCTCATGCTGTATGTCATCACAGAAGCAACAATAGGAGAATGGGGAGAGAACTCTGACGCAGCCACTAAAATATGGACTAATTTTTCAGACAAATCTTCAAATGGACTGTGCTACTGTTTTTGTCTCAGTTACCAAGTTTGTGCAATACGTGGAAGGGATGCCATCCCTGTTCAATAAAAGCTGAATGACATTCACATTGATTTTCTAGACCACTGAGAAAATCTTTATTTACAATAAATTTCAATAAAATTTGCATAAATATATTCCCAATGTACAGATTTCACCTCTGATTTCTTCATGTCGTTTAAAAAGTTAGTCTGTCCTATTTTCATTGCTCCTTTCAGCCGCCAGCGAGGAGCTGGTATTGGCAGCTGGAGGGGTGCTGCCAGGTAACCGGGGGGACCCTGAGGGCTCAGGGTAGTCAGTGTGCCCCTCCTCCGGGGGAGAGAGATTTTCAGCTCTGTCCTTGCTCTCCAGTTTCCGCTCCATGGTCGCCACCAGGATCTTGAGCCATGTGTTCTCCGTGAGCAGATTTTCTGAGGCGTCGGCCAGCTCCTGGAGCTTTCGGGCCACCTCCTCCAGCTCCCTGGTTTTCTGCTCATACAGGGCCTGCAGCTGCTCACTGTGCATCTGGAGCAAGCTGTGCTGCTTCTTCAAGGTCTGCTGTTGCTGCAGCAGCTGGTGCTCATCCCTGCGCGCGCTGGCAAGCTGAGCCTCCACCTGCATTTGCGCTCGCTGAAGGGTGCTGATTTCAGCCCTCAGCTTCTGGATCTCTCTCTCCAAATGGGAGATGTGCCCCTGCTGTAAGACTGCCTCGCTCTGAAGACACTCTTTGGTAGAAGGGTTAGCCAAGTTCTGGGGGACAGAAGCAGGGTCTGAGTGATGCAAAATGAACCTCAGCAGGTTTGGAAGGGTGATGGGAAGATCTTCAGGGTATTTCACACTTAGGTCCTTTCTGAAGGGAAAGGGAAGAGTCAAAGATGAGAGTCACACCAACATGTTTAGTCCAAAACCAGACTGCTACTGAAGATCAGGCCATTTATTTCCTACAAAAGACATTCCGAGGATTGGACTTAACTGAAATCAGCAAGGAAACTGTTGTCTGGGCAAAAAATTTTATACAAAGCTGAGGATGTGCCGCATACTCATTCTGTAATTAAGGTGGCTTATCTCAAACATGTCTATTCCTGAGGAGAAAGAGCTGTTTGTATTCACAGCCTTCCAAAGATGACAAGAGCTCCCAAACCTAAGCCTAAAGCCAGTGATCAGGGCCCTGGGAACCGAGGGGCAGAGTGGCCTCCGTATGTTCCAAGAGGCCCAGGGGCATGTCCTGGGGCAGAGCTGTCCCCCATCACTCCTGTGGCCATCAACAGTGCTTGGTAATATTGGAAAAACCTGACACACTCAGCTCAGTTTCTTCAGCAAGCATTTATTCCATATTATCCAAGGCAGGAGTTCTTAACTGGAGGTGACTGTACCCCCCAAAGGACATTTGACAACATCTGGAGACATTTTGATAGCCATGATGGGGAAGATGTTACTGGAGCCCTGACCCTTGACAAATAGAGGAACTGAAGCTGCCTGGTCCTGAGAGGACAGGATAAGGAGGGAGGGTGACATATGAAGGGGGTTTGCCCAAAGTTTAACTGCAAGTCCATTTGTAGAAAATTCCTCTTTAGAACTTGTCATTTAATTGTCTGATGAGCAAGTATCTACCACAGATATATTTCCTGTGTATACAGAACCTGGCTGCAATACATCAAAACCACTAGTTTTATGTATGAGCTAGACAAACAATGGTTATCGTCACCTTTGAGTATTAAAGAAATGGAGGTTAAGAGCAGGGCCTCCAGAAGCTGCCTGTCTGGGGCCAACTCACAGGGCTAATGCTCACTGTCAGGAACTCCCAGACAAGTGGCTTCTGTGTCCCTCCATTGCCTCATTTGTAAAAGGTTAACAAGAATACCATCTCCCTCACAGCATTGCTGTAAGGATTACACTAGTTACCCAAATGCTCAATGAGTGTCAGCTTAAAAAAATTGTTCCTTAGAAAAACCTGAAACCATTCATTAAAAACTTGCACACCCTCTCCAAACACAGAGCCAGTGGCCAAATACCTAAAAAAGATAAAAGGTGTTCTCTTAATGGGTAAGTACTTGCCCTAGGAAATAAAAATCACAGGGAAATTATAATCAGATATGCCCTATTTTTATACAATCTTAATGGAAAGTTTCAGGTAAATGGATTAATTTCAAACATTTTGGGGATAAGTATATAACCACACCCTCCTTAAAGCATAGTTTTCTAAACATGCAAGCTGTCTTTAAGTGGGGCTTCCCAGCCATTCTCACCTGGCCTCTGCAGGTGAGGAACAACAAGCAGAGGCTGATCTGCAGCACAAACCTGGGCAGAGAGCTGCTGAGAGACCAGTTTATGTACCCGGAGACAGTTACAGGACAGAAAATGACATTTCTAAGCATGTCATTTTACAGTTCCTGGTGCAATCTTCATGAATCTACCTGACGGATATGCTAAAATGCTTCCAGCCTTTTTATAAGTAGCAAGGACAGAGTGTCAACAAACTGCTCCCCCAAAAATAATCACTTTGAAAGTGTGGTGGTAAAGGTCTCACTATTTACCTGACTCTCCTCTAAGTTCACTAGGAGCATGTTTATTATGCACTTCTGGCACGTAAAAGGCCAGATTAAAAAAAATAACAAATGGGGTCTAAGGCTCTACTCCAAAGAAGGGGCTATCATACTGAGGGAGGGTGGGCCTGCTCCTCTGAAGAAGTGAGGTCCTTCCCCAGGGGATACATTAGGGTGAACCCTGCCACACTTCTGATATCCTAGCCCAGGGCTGGGCCACAGCACCTTTATCAGTGATGGCAAACCGGTGACACGCGAACTCATTTTTTTGGTTGATTTTTCTTTGTTAAATGGCATTTAAATATATAAAATAAATATCAAAAATACAAGTCTTTGTTTTACTATGGTTGCAAATATCAAAAAATTTCTATATGTGACACAGCACCAGAGTTAAGTTAGGGTTTTTCAAAATGCTGACATGCCGCGCTCAAAAGGTTCACCATTACTGACCTATATTATGAAATGTCACACAGAGTGGTGGAAGGAAGGTAGTTCTAAGATGCCCCTGAATAGGAAGGCTGGCCCAGCCAGGAGCAGGAGGGGCCCGGGTGGCATACTGTGTCAGAGGACAAACTCTTTCATATAGTTTTCCTTTAATGATTATAAAATAAGATGTGCTCACTGTAGACAATTTGCAAAGGATGCAAAAAGCACACAAGAGACACCACCAGATCACCTATAACCCTGACTCCTCCAAAACAATCACTGTCAACATCTTGACATGTTTTCTTCCCTTATGTACACATTTTAACCAGTGCAACTTTGTATTTTACCAAAACACATTTTATATTCTTTTCACTAAAAATAACATAAGTATGTATACTGTGAAAAAGGTCTTGTTACATGTTATCAAACAGTCTTTTTTATTTCCTCTTTTGTGAGCTGTCAGCTCATATCCTTTGCCCATTTACTTCCTGAGTAAACTGAACACTAACTTTGGACGAGGTAATGAGGCACTTACTTCTGATTATAATTTATTTTGAGGAAATAAGTACAATTCCATTCCAAAGCAGTAATGCTTTAGTTTATCAAGGAAGCTCTTACCATTAAAATAGAACTGGACAGTCTTTTCATGTTCAATATTTACCTTCTTGATTTTTCAATTCAAGGAATATACTAAGGGGGTGCAGTGACCCCAACGAGGGTGTGGAAAACAATCTCACCTCCATGCTGACTACATCAGACAACTTTAGAATGAAAGCTACTCAAGCCAAGACTCAGGCCCCCAAATACACAGCTCCCTGCCACCAAGTCTCTGGGTGCTTTCCCTGTCTCCTACTACATATTCATGGATTCTAGTTGCTGAGAACTTCTTTATGCAAAGGCCAGGGCTGGATGTTATGGCTTTAATACTTTTGTAAACTGTGTTTGGAATTCTAAAATTATGTTTCATTAAATTTCATGCCCAGCCTCTGACCCATAGATGGAATTGCTAGTATTATTGTCCATGATTCTGTGACTGTGTGGCTCTTTAAAGCTCCTTAGAAAGAAAACGGTCATCACAACACGTCAGTAGTACAATAGGGTGAGTCATGCTCTGTTTTTAGTGTGTGATTTGACAAGACTCTACTACCACAGGAAGTATTTCAGAAAAAAATTCTTTGAGATAAAGAGGAAAAAACAAGGAAATGATTCAGTGTGTATGAAGGAAGCATTCTCCTGGAAAAAACACAAAAAGCAAGGCAGTGGCTACAATAAATGGTAAAAGTGAGCGCAGGAAATTAAAACAGTAAATGTCATATATGAGTTAGGGACCTCACTGAAATAACTCAGCAAATGCTTTTCCCCAGTAAAGCCATGTGACTTGGTCCCCAAGGACCCATCCTTTCAATAACAAAAGGGAAATCTGTAAAAAGGGAGAGAACATCTGGTTTATTGGCTTTGAAAGGCCAAAAGTTAATTTCCCTTCCTACCAAAACATCCACATCCACATATGCTAAGTTGTATCCCTTTTGCTAACCTTCACCCCTACTTGCCGGGCTTTCAGAATAGCAGCAGTAATCACTGAACTTGGAGTAGCACTCAGACAAATATGATCAGATCCAGGTGACAGCCCTGTGGTAGATGTTCACAGAAGTCTGCACACTTGGAGAAAAGGCTCCTTGAGCGCTATTTCCTCTTTGCATTGGAGGAACAAGGTAGTCATGGCCAGGACTCAATAAGAAGAAATGATACGCAGGCGGGCCCAAAACACCTTGTAAGGCTCAATAGGTGCCTGTTGTTTTGCCCCAGAGGAATGTGGGGCTCTCTGCTGTCAATCTTGGCATCCATTGTATGCTCATAAGGCCAAGAAAGCAAATGAGTTTTGATGGTGACATTTTTGCTGGTGTAAAACACACACTCAGGGAGGGGCAATCTTCTTTAAAAAAAAACACACACACACCATCACCACCACCATAATGTGACCCCAAAGCTGTTTTACCTTTTTCCCTAATAGCACATTTTTTGCACAATACATTTCATTCAAAGTAATTTAGTAATAACTAATGATTTACATATCACTTCCATTAAGTGTCTTAAACCCAATTTATTTTCAGCAAAAGAATCCCATCTGCCCAAATACTGAAAAAATTCTGCATTACCTGTTACAGGGAAAAAATAAGACAGTAGGAAGTCGGTCAACCATCAATTCCCAAGGAAGATCATTCTGAGATACATCAATCCTAGAAAAGGGAAAGAAAAGAAAAGGTAAAAGGCCTGGGAAAAAACTCTGACATGAAAGAACCTTGTCAAATAACTGAAGATCCTAGAGCATTTTCTTCGACCAGCCCCTTCTCAGTGAGTGTGCCATTAGGTTTTAAGTTGGGCACAGTTCATGTCAGATGCACTGATACTTCCAGAACATGAATCTTCCCACTTTACTTACTGAGTGGAAATGTAAAGTTGTGAAAGTAAAAATGAACTTCCCAAAAAATGTCTCACTGACAACCCTGGAGTAGTCCCACCTACCTGACAAGATCTGGGCAAATACTTTAATTCCTAAATTAGCTCTGGAAAAACAAAGGAAATCACTGTGCAAAATACATCAAGCCTCTCTGAAGATGCAAGAAAACTAGAAAAAAGCCTCAGAGAGGGCACAAAAAAAAAAAAAAAGGAAATTGGAAAAGAAATGCTATATTTTATATTTTGTAAATCTGGACAGAGGAACCAAAAGGTGTATTTTCTTAGCAGATTTAAAATTAATTTTCTAGTACAGAAAATTACATCTGTGCTAAATTACCCCACCTACCTGTGTTTAATTACTATTGAACTAGGTGGCAGCCCCTCCTGCAGCTAGCTGTAAGTGGGATATACTAGGGCTCAGCACAAAAAGAACATTCTAGAGCAGTGGTTCTCAACCTGTGGGTCACGACCATCGGAAAACACATATAGCATATCAGATATTTACATTACGATTCGTAACAGTAGCAAAATTACAGTTATGAAGTAGCAATGAAAATAATTTTATGGTTGGGGGCACCACAACATGAGGAACTGTATTAAAGGGTAGCAGTATTAGGAAGGTTGAGAACCACTGTTCTAGAGGGAACCGATCACTCAACCCTATTCTTGCAAATAGTGCATACAAAAGATGGAAATGTTTTGACGCATTAACTTGACAGAAATTTTCAAAAAGTATTGGTGGGATGGGATTAGTGCCATTTGTCCAAAAGGATAAAATTCACTTTAAAAAATGACATAACCAAATTATAATGTTTAAACAGCTTTACTATTAAAACAGCATTCCTGACTACCTAAAACATTTGAGTTCCATTTTTTAAACAAATAGTGATGAATACTTTATTCTATAATCAAATGCTTTTTTCCTCCTGATTTTGGCTTCAAAGAAAGACCAAACTGTAAAATTAAAAGAAAATCATTTGTAAACATCCACTCAGAATTCCATCGGACTAATCAGGACCTTCTTTCCGGGACTCTCATTTATGTTTGATATAGATGCCTACATATTGTTAAGAGCAGTAATCATATATTTTATCCTCTATTCTTTTCAATTAATTGTATACAAAGCATTGTTCTGAGTGGATCAGAATTCCATCAAATGCCCAACCATTTATCTACTGCTGTATACTAGTAAGTAATGTTACCATGCCTAGCTCATACATCTATGGAAGTTCTATTTCCTTAATTCCCCAAAGTGAAATTAACTAGGTCAACAATGCACAACTATATTTTTGATTTCTTACAGTGTTGCTAAAATGATTTCCAAAAAGTTACATCAATTTACTTATTCTGTTAGCTACATCTAACTATGCTAATTTCACTTTATTTTATCAAAGCAAGATTGTCACTTAAAAACATGTTAATTTAATATGCATAAATGAAACTTATTGCTTTAATTTACATTTATTATAATTTCCCCACTTGTTTATTTACTCTCTCCTCTTACATGAAAAATCTGTTCATGCCTTTTCTTTTCTTATTAATCCTCACCCAAGGATATTTTTTCCATTGATTTTTAGAGAGAGTGGGAGGGATGAGGGGAGGGGAAGAGAGAGACACACACACACATATTGTTCAGTTGCCTCCTGCACGCACCTTGACTGGGGCTGGGGATCGAACCTGCAACCCAGGTACGTGCCCTTGACTGGGAATTTAACCCATGACCCTTTGGTGCATGGGCTGATGTAACCCCAGCTAGGGCTCGTGTCCTTTCCTCACACTGGAATCCTTCTTAGCAGTTTCTCCACACCCCCTCACCATTGTCTTTTATTGTGATAAATAATATGTAACACAAAACTTATGATCTTAACCATTTCTAAATGTACAGTTCAGTGGTATTAAGTACATCCATAATGCTGTGCAACCATCATCTTACAAAACAAAACTCTGTACCCATTAAACAACTTCCCATTCTGCCCTCCTTGCAAACCCTGACAACCATCATCCTACTTTCTGGCTTTATGAATCAGACTACTCTTGGTGCCTCAAGAACCATACAGTACTTGTCCTTTTGTGTCTTATTTCACCTAACATTATGTCTTCAAGATTCATTCATGTTGTAGTGTGTGTCAGAATTCCCTTCCATTTTAAAGCTGCACTCCATTGTATGAACCAGTTTCCTCTTAGCAGTTTCGTAAACCATTTTAATTTTTCAGGGTCTGGAGCACAAACAGTTGATTCTGAATCCTGGTCCCTCACAGGTTGTGTGACTCTGGGCAAGTTACCTAATCTTTCTGTGCCTCAGTTCCCTCCTCAGTAAAAAGAGTGATACTCATGCCTGTTTCACTGAATGTTCTGGGATTAAGTCATAATACATACATATATATATCCTATCTAATAATAGACAAACATGGTAATTAACCGTACCTCCAGCACGCTTCCCATTGGCTAATCAGGGCGATATGCAAATTAACTGCCAACCAAGATGGCAGCCGGCAGCCAGGCAGCTGAAGCGAACAGGAGGCTTGCTTGCTCCAGTGAAGGAGGAAGCCAAGGTTCCCTGCCTGCCGCTGCTGGG